AAGATTAAACTAACTTTACTAAATACTATTTTTTTTAATTATCTCTTGATGACACCATTATGATTGGTGAGTAACGGGTCGAGAACAGTTCAACAGTTCTGATGTGAGATGTGATGGAAGTATTTCGAATGGGTTCATTCTACATCAGATGTTGTGATTTAACTTTTCAGTAACCTTAATAGATTTGATCAACTCGGTAATTTTATATAAAATGTTTTTAAAAAAATCTGAATGAGACACCAACCTTTTCAATTTTCTCCTCACTGGCAACTACTTCTACGTTCATGCATTCCACTGCTTCCATTATTACTTGAGGTGCTCCATCTTTAGATGTAGAAGCAGGAGATATGATTTTCTTAGCCTCAGCACTTGTGGTTGTTAGCATTTTTGGTATCGTAGGAATCTTTTTGATTTTGGTAATGTCTTGTTTATTAGAAGTCATAATTCCAGATAACTGTGCTACAGGAATACACACTGGGCGTTTTGTACCATAAAGACTATAGTAAAGATCAACTAAATCACAGCGCAACCTGGTATCATGAGACAGCATACAACTGAAAATAAATACCACAGGAACATTAGTACATCAAGAAAGGTTTGCATTTGAGATTATCCTTTATCTTGTTTTCTATTTGTTTATAGAATATCAATTTAACTGGTTTAAATTGAAATAATACAACAACCATATACGCAGGACCACACGAATCTCGTCACAATATTTTGAAGAAAATATACACAAACCAGTTATTCCTAGCCCAACAATGAAATAAAATAACGCTTACATAGGCTATGACGCCACTGGCACTGAATAGAAGGCCTCAACAAGTTAGATCAAGCAGGCTAGGCAAGGTTAACACGGTAGACTAAAAACCTGCAGATAGAAAAACATTAAATAATGGTCGCGAAGTTTGATTATGATCAGTTTATTTTTTATTGTAATTATTTTGTTATGGTACGATGTACCCAACAATTTAATGGGCTTGTTTCATGCTATGGGAAATGATACTGGTTTGCTCAATAGAACATACAAATAGATAGATAGATCTTTATTTAAAAAATAGGTAACCCTAATATACATATATATCCCAATTAAATCAACGGTGTATATATACAACATTAGACAAACACAAAAAAAAAGAAATACAATGCAGCAATAATATACGAAAATCACAATTTTAAAAATAGAATTAATAGAATTAGTAGAATTACAAAAATTACAAGAATTGCTTTCAGTACGTTATCTATTTCATCTTAATAAGTTCTTTCAATTGTTTTTTAAACAAATTCAACGATGATGATGTTTTAATGAAGTCTGGTAGTTTATTAAATTCTTGGAAACCTTTGAAAAATAAAGAGTTCATAGTACTGCGATAAGCAGTGCTGCTAATGTGAATGTCATTTTTACCCCGAGTGTTATAAGTGTGAATGTCTCTATTCAATATTATAAATGTATGAAAGTAAACAGGAGCCAGGTTATTCAATATTTTATATACAAAAATCATTGTGAAATAATACAATCTTTTTTCGACTGAGAACCAATTAAGCGTTGCTAACATAGATCTTATGGGGGTGAGACGATTAGTTCTCAGAATTATTCTCATGCCACGATTTTGAAGTTTTTGTAGCATATTCAGCTTAGTAAGATCAAACAAAAACAGGGCTGATGAGCAATAATCAAAATGCGGCTGAATAATTGAATTATATACCGTGATTTTTGTTTCGGTTGATAATTCCTGGGCTATACGAGAGAAAAAATAAAGTTTTTTTGAAATTTTTTTATGAATATAATTGAAATGGGTATTGAAGTTCAGAAAGTTATCCAACTGGAAGCCCAAATACTTGATATTCGATACAATTTCAATTTGTTCATTATTGANCTAAAACATTGAAAACGAATTTGAGAGAAAAGAGAAAAAAAACACCTCAAAAGTGCTGCTTCGTTCTCTCCTTTCAAAAAAGAGGACATATGCCTTCTCACTCACAAGCGAAATAGGTGAAATTGGGCACACATTTGAATCGTTGTATTCATGCCACGTGCCACTATAAGGGTGTCTGCAATATGCTGTGTAATGGCCGTTGTAAGTAGTCCCACTTACATGGGACTACTTACAACGGCATATAGATTATAACGACAAGGGACCACATTGTCTGCTGCATAATTGCTCATATCTAATTCTTCTGAAGAAAAGTCGGTGAAAACATTCAATTTGTCTCTGAATCTTTCCGTTGGAGAGAATATTTTTAAATGAATTATTAAAATACTGGGAAATTTATGGATTGTGCATTTTCTTCTTTCCTTGCACCTTGCTTATAGACTGATCGAATTAGGGGTATATTATACTTATCAAGCCTAATCGGTCCCAAAATCTCTTTATATTTGCAGAAAAAGGTATAATTCGAAAAGCAAGAATTTAAATTGGCCGTGTGTCTGTTGACCAATAAAATTGATCGTGTCTAGAGCGGAGTTGCCAAGTGTATTGGTGTTAGTATTCACACGCCCGTGTTAGGAATCACACGTTAAAAGGTAAGACCTCGTTAGTCTTCAGCTCGCATAAGTTTCTCAACTTCTGAGAGTTGTCGTTCGTATGGGGGCAACAGCTGATTAACGGAAAAACAGATTTTAAAACAGATTTAATATCCAATCACAGATCTGATTATCCAATTTGACAGACGCCATTTTTGTTGTTATTGTTGTCAACTCGGTGTGAAAACAACTGTTACAATTATCTAATTAAAGAACTTTTTTTTGTGAAAGGTAGGTCTCGGCGGGTGCCTATTTTGCTGCATATTCCATGTCATGAGTTTATTATTTTTGAATTGATATGTTCTGGAGTAATTTTACATTTCACTGTATATATTTTTGCTTCTCTTTTCAGTTACCATACAGCTCCTTGGCCGAGATAAAATAAAAATTAAATCAAAACTTTCCATCCTTCGATAAAAGACAAAGTCTGAAATGAATGTCATATAAATAAAAGGGGCCTACTAAATACCACCTACCGTTTCAATTTTTCATTCTTCATTTCGGTACCAAATGCAAATTTTTCAAGTAAAATTCATCGATCATTTCAAAATCGACTCTTGGTAAGTCGTCGGGAGTCAGCTTTAACAAAACTAGGCTCAACATTCATTTTGAAAAATACGAAGTTTGTGAAAACCGTTGACATTAGAAAGAGCACATTGTCGCATTCACTACAGAAGGCGCTGGCTGACTAGATGACAATATGGCTAATATACCAGTAACTTTGAATTTCTTATTTTTGGTGGGTAGCATGAATGCATAATTGATTTATTTTATTAGGGTTCATGAGCATTCGAACACCATTTGAAAATACAGCTCTTTTAAATCTATTTAGAATCATATTTAGATATAACTTGTACTATATCAGTTATCAAGGCAAATATTATTGTCCATTTTTATGCTTAATTCGTGGAATCGAGCGATCTTATTATTATATATTTATTTGTTTGCTGGTTTCATTCTTAAAAAAATGAATGAATAATTACAGAAAATTTTAATTGATCTTTCATTTTCTCAGGAAAATGAAGTAACCATATCACAATTTTTTGGTTTATTCGGCATTGAAAATGCATGTCATATCGGATCCATTCTGCTTATTTTTGCAACATTGAGTTTCAACTTTATCTTAGCTGACAGCTTGCGTAGGAACAATTCGTTTTTTCATTGAGTTTAGTTTGTGTGTGTTTTAAAAGTGTTTTACAGATATATTTGATTATTAATATGGTGCATTCTTGTGCTGATTTTAATTGTGCGGAAAGGCACAAGAAAACAGAGAGTGCATTGGTTTATAGATGAGTTATTTCATATAATGAGTTTAGGTTCCCAAAGGATAAAATGATGCAAAAAAAATGGGTGAAAGTATTGAAAAGAAAGAACTACAATCCTTCTATTCTTCCAAGACGTTATAGAAATCATTTAAAAAGTGACTATAAATGAAAGGGAGACGAAAATATTGAATTTAATGACACAGTTTTTTATTTCAACTTCAAGTATTCTCCACAGAAAGTATTATCTGGAGTTAATACTGTCGCTGAAAGTATGATACCTACAGTTTACTTCATTAAATTTTATCATATGATTAATAGTATTACCTCAGAAGCTTTTGTTGGATCAGTTCAAGTACAATCAATTCTGTTTATACTTGACCTCATTCAATCTTCCTCTCAAGTTTTGGAAAATTCAACAGATTACCCAAGCGAGCCTATAATGCTTGAATTTAGTAGCTATATTAAAAAGAGGTATGTATGTTGGAATCGTTTTTTTTGTAATAAATTGCAGTTGTACAGATTGAGGATTGTAGAATAAATTGAATATTTGAAATGATTCTTTCATCCAGTTTGCTTTATTTTTGGATTTTCATAACGGTATATTATTAAATAATGCATAAAATCATAGTTTAGGTAAATATTTTGTGATCTATCGACTTTGTGTACTGATTTTAGATATAGAACTTATTTCCAAACATGATTTATCGTGTACATTTTATTCCATGTGGAGAATTTTTCATTAATTGAAACGTTAACGGGTTCATATACACTTCCATAATTAAATTGATAATTATAGGCTCCGTAAATTTTAAGATTTGGCAATATCAATGATTGAGAAAATT